TTATTTACTTTTAAAATGGGTCGATCTTACATTATTTCCACTCATACTGCAGTTTTTCCTATTATTCTGGTTTATCTTACATCCTTATACAACCACATACAACAACACACACGCACGCAAAATGCGATATTATTTTTTCATTGTATTTCAAGTGAAAAACAATGAACAATATTTTTATATAAAAGATTGTAAAAAAAAAGGTACTTCACTTTAAAAATTTTAATAATTTCAAAGTAAAGCAAAATTTATAAAAAATTAATTTAGAAAAAATGAAACCGCTTGAACAGCCGCTACCATAACGTGTAGAAAAATTCCAATTTATGTAGCTATTTCAACTTTTTGTCTGTAATGTTGGTTCTGTAATGCCGCAGAAAGTATTATAATTAACAAAAAGGTAAATTACAAGTACCAAGTTTAATAAAAAATTTATTTGTCGTACACGTAAAGTGCTGAACATAAAACCAAGTTAAAAGACCTGTGTAAGGGTCAAGAATTTCTCTTAAAAATTATGTGCATATTTTAATGGATTTTTAACATTACAGAAAACAAAAAGAAAATTTTTTTTTTAGGAAAATTAAAGAAAAGAGCATGCATAGGTGCTACATTGAAAATAAGTTTTCGAGGAGTAAGCAGTATAAAGGCAAAGATGGAAATTGAATGCAAAATTCAGATGCTTTCCAGGAAGTAGAGTTGCAGCAGAAAATTCTTTTAATTTTACTTTCCATGAAATTCAGTTTAGTTGAATTATTTGTGATGTGATTGCTGATGAGCAAAGGAATGGCATAATCTTCATTCAGTTTGCTGTTCGAGCTCTCACTAAATACCTTAACAAAATGTTGTAATTTATTTTGTAAATATTACAGAAATTAATTTATTTTATTGAATTCAATAAAATTGCTTTTGTTCCAGGAAGCAACAGTGTAGCATTTAACTTCAAATGACAAATGTTAAATACCAACAAAAACTATAGTATCTATATGCGTAACAGTCTAAAATTTGTAAATTAAATAAAAATTGGGTATATGCCGTACAAATTTCACTCATACCCTTCCTCCTACTTATCCTGCCAAAAATTTTGATTCATGTATTTTTCATACCTTTTGCAAAAGTTTCTCCTTTACATTTCAATAATTAATATTTGTACTATGTAACATAGCTACACCATATATGCCATGTTGATATGGTAACTCCAATTTGTGCATAAAATTAGCCGGAATGCGGGAAAATTTATTTGAATTTGTTTTTATTTAAAACAAATTTTTTTACTTTTCTCTCATTTTTTACCAATTGCATTGCATATAGTAAGGGTGGTTATGTCATAGCATCAAATTTCGTATGTCGAGTTTTTGGTAGAAACGCGCTTTCCCATGGTAGAAAAACGTAAATAAATTGTTTCAAGGAAAATCTTGTTTATCAGTGTATCAGCCTGCCTGTGCTCTTTGGAGAATGAGAGTCTTTGGTCATATCTTGGAATATAGCAGTTCGCTGGAACGTGAACTAGATTTTATGTTTCTGACTATTTTTAAGAAAATTATAAACAGGGTTTCTTTTAATTTTATATATAAGCTCTGTGTGTGTCAGCTAACTTTTTTAAATATATCAGGTGTCAGGCAAATTTACATATTTGCCCAACACACAGAATTAACCAAGCAATTTCTTTGAAATTTAACATTTCAACAACGGTGTTGTTAAAACAGTAAATCAGTATAATTTTCCCAAAATATCGTGGCTTGAAACAGAGATATAGAAGGAGAATTTTATTGAAATTTAATGTGTTCTGGTCATTAAAGCAATTGTTTTGAAAACTTTCGGATAACAGAAAATAAGCCTCTACTTAGAACCAACACTCTTAGCACTACATCTTATGGAACACTTCATACGTGCTGTCGCTTATGCGTTGTTCCCATAAGGTTTTTTTTTGGAAAATAATAAGCAATATTTTCGTGTGTATGAATTTACAAGCATATGAGTGGTACATTTTAGCGTAAAAAATAACAAACAAAAAACAAAAATTGAATAATTAATGGGAAAATAATTTACATTTCAAAAACGGAAAAAAATTGGAGTTTTTTGTAGTCCTCGTTAAGGATTAAAGTAAATACTTGTATGTATGTACATATAGAATAATACAAACACATTCAAAAACATTAAAATATTAAAAAAAGAAGAAAAGAATGTGTAGAAAAGTTTTTATTTTAGAAATTTTGTCATGATATGCTTACCTTTTAACATACACAGGATATTATAAAAATTCCTAAATTTTATATTTGGTTTTTTTGTGAGTTGTTCTATACTTTATCGTACAAGACTGATGTAATATTAATGTGTTATAGGTATTGGAAGAGAAAAAAAGTCAAATTACAAAAAAATATGCAAATTTTACTAGAAATTGTAACTTTAATAAATTTTGTTTTTAACGAGCATTTTTTTTTTTCTGTTTCAAACAACGTTAATGTTTTCGTGTAATTTGAATAATGAAAAATAAAAGTTTTTTGCATGTTTTACATCATATGATCAGGTTTCCTCGAAAAGAAATTATTTAATTTGTAATTTAAGGCTATACGTTACACATTTATTTTTATGAGACTAATATACAAATTAAACTTCTTCCAATCATGTTAAAACTTAAGACTTAAGTGTGTAATTAGCTATTTTTGTTCACTTTTTGTTCTTTAATATTTTATTTGAAAATAATGTTTTTGTAATGAACTCATTTTTCTTGTAATTTTAATTCTATAGTAAAGAAACTTTGTGTGAATACTTCAGTAATAATATAAGATTATTCTAACTTATGAAACAGAAAGGTATTTTTATTGGGCGATTCATTTCGTGTGGTTCCATACAATTTTAGTTGAATGGTTTGGTTTATTTTTATAAATAAAATTATTTGCAGATTTTGAGTTATATGAAGTCTTTCAATTAAATTGGTTGTTTCCTCTTCGGAGTTGTTACCTTAAGCTTCCAAAGAGAGCTTTAAATTCTCATGAATTTTGTGATCATTATGAATTAAAAAATAATTAAATTAAAAATAGGAATACAATCTTACTTATCTTACTTATAAATTTTTTTAATATACATACGTTATGTATGTATAATATTTTGTTCATTAAAAGTCCAGATATTTCTTTCGAGATGATGTAGTTTTTATAGTTTTCAACGTCTAAATAAAATTTTATATAAATTTACGCAAAATTACGTTATTCAAATTAGAAAACTTACTTTATTAATATTAAAGAACAAAAAATGAACTAGAGTACTAAAAGATTTTTTATATATTTGTTTTCAAAAACAATATCTTACCTCTTATATTGCCTTAAACATTCTACAGGGAAGAGTTGAAAATATTGCATTACATCTTAAAATTTACTTAATTCACCTAATCATCTAAATATTCATGCCAAAAATCAGATTGATTTCCCATGGTTAGATGGCTTACTACCATTAGTACACTAATCCACAAGTGAAATTTTAAAACGGCCTTTAAAACGTATTTAAATCCAAACAAAATGTAATAGCAATGCATTGAAACTAAAAGCAAAATTATTTATTTTTGTCAAATTTTCATTTTCTGCCAATCATATTTTTCTCTTGCGACACATAGATTTAATAAAATTCCTTTTTTACCACAGTTCCTTTAAATTAACGTACACCAAATTTAGCATTCTTGCACCAAAATTCAATCTAAGAAGTCAAAAATAGGTACATATTTTGTGTCAATTAAGAAATCAAATTGTTTAAGATTGAATTTATTAAACTCTTAATCGAATTTACCCAAAATCTTAAATTCAGGCAAAAGCAATTATTGCTTATTTTGCGAGAGGAATATTAACTATAACGCATTACTTAGATTAGAATCATTTACAATTTGTTTCTCTCTGTGTTCCAAAAATGCATTTTATATATTTCGGAAAGCGTAACACTGTAAAATTTTTTAAATCGTCAAAGCTTGCGTTTATTTTTCGATAAGGAATGCTACCTTTTTTCTGATTCTCATTGATGTACTCGTGCGTGTTGAAAACTTTACACTTCATTTGGCTCCTTCTCATAGCTAAACGTCAAAGGGAGACAGAGAGAGAAAGTAAAGGAAATGCACAAGTATGGCGATCTTATCCACTGCCTTTAAGATTCGTTGAATAGTCGTAAATCGTCGGTGGACACGAACGTATTGCACCTGCAACAGGGTGTGAGTTTATAGAGTAAAATTAAACAAAAAAATATATTTTTTTTTATAATTAATTTTTTTAATTTTTTTTCCAATTTTTTTTATTTTTAAATTTTTATTTCTTCTTTGAACAGTTAAACGTTTACAACTAAGTTCTTTTTTTTTTTTTTTCATTTTTATTCTCTTATAATTTTATACATTTATTTTAAGTAAATTTTTTTTTTAGTCATTACAATACTAAATTTCATCTTTTTTTTTTTTTTAAATTCTAATTAAATAAATTCAGTTATACAATTTTTTTCTTCAGCTTTTTCATTTTTATTTTTTAATTTTTTTTTTCACTTTTTAATGTAATTTTAATGCAAAAAAAGTTTTAGGCCGCATTTAAATTTATTTTTATTACTTTTTTTTTGTAATTTTTTTTTTTGTTTTTTACTGGAAAATTAAAAATGAAAAAAGCCTGTTCAGCAAATAGAGTTTTCATTGTAAATAACTTACATATGGAGTTTGATTACATAATAATTACAAATACATTCAAATATGAAATTGCATTATCCTTTATCCTTTATATAATATAATTTTATTACATAAGTGTTGGTATATATGCTTTACATTTATACATTGGTATTGGTATATAGGGAACAGTAAAAATTGTATGTCTGTATGTAATTTTACTGTTATTAAGTTGTGAATTTTTTATTTTTTTTTAATTTTCTCATTTTCAGTTCTAAATTTAAATTTCTGTTTATCATTCATTATCCTTTATCTCTATATTAAATAATAAATTTAAATTATAATTTCATACAATTTTTTTTTTATTTTATTTTATAATTTTTTATCTATACAGCCATAAACTTATAGACTAAAATTAATTACTTCTCTTATAAATTTTCTCTTTTTTTTTTTTTTTAACTTTTACAATTACAATATTTTTATTTCTTATTTTCATTTTTTTTATATATAGCTAGATATATATATATATATATATATGTTTAGGGGTTTTCTTTAAATAATTTATTTAATTTTTATTTTATTTTTGAGAAAATTTTCTAATGAATGTCCTAAGATAAGCTTTCGATGTAAAATAACATTTGGAATATGCGGGTAAATTAATATTGCTATTAACATTAATGTTACTATTATTAAATTGTTGTTGATAATCGGTTAAATTTGATATTGATTGTTGTTGATTATTGTATTGTTGTTGTTGTAATTTTTGCTGATAATGATATTGTTGTTGTTGTTGTTGTTGTTGATGTGATTGCTGATTATTATTATAATTAAAATTCAAATTTCTTCTATTTTCCTTCATATGCTATACATAATAAGCACTATATGGATTCTTTTTATGCCAGCATGGTATAACACATTCCAATGTATTTTTGAATGCTTCTCGAAAATCTCGATTAAAATATGCATATATAAGTGGATTTAATGTTGAATTGAAATAACCAATCCAAAATAATACAACTACAACAGTATCTGGACATGGACATGAAGCACCACACAATGATGTAATGACATACCTATAATATTAGAATAATTGGAAAAAATAAGGTTTTTTTAGTAAAAAAATATTGAAATAAATTGTAATTAGATTTTATTCAATTGAATTTTTAGTTTTTTTTATTGGATTTTAATAAAAAATATCCAAGCTGTTAAATAATTTTATTGTCAATTACAATTTTATTAATTATTCAGTGTGAGTGAGTAATTTTTATTGAACTGATGTTTTAGTCGCTTCGTTTAATCTTTATAGGTAGAATAAACGAAATTTCAATTGATGTTAATAGCGATATCATCTTATGAGCACTTTTTTTGAAAACGTCTGTCATCTAAACAACATTTATTTCCTTTTAATAATTTTTGAGCCCAGATTTGTGGGGTAACAAAGCAAAGAATTTTAAAGCAATAATTTTATAAAAAACGTTTAAAAGAGAAATCAATCTCATACAGAAAAATTTGTACAATGAATTTGAACAATATTTTGACCATTTAATACTTATTATTAAAATTTATAATATTCACAATTTATGTAGAAGTCACAATTTCTGATACACCATTTCATCGAATCATAATAGATTCCAAATATTGTAATTTTAATTGCAGTCGGTTCCTTCGCAGGATTTAATCCTTTTACATAAAATTTTTATATCTTTTTTACAACAAGTGTAAGAATTTGCAATTGAGTTTTCAAATAATTAATTATTCGAAATAAAATTCAAATTATAATCTTGAAAAAAAAAAGAAAACTTAAAATAAATGCACAACATGTCATCATCAGTTCTCTAACTGTCTAATTATACTATTAATTAAATCTTAAAGAAATACCATATCTCAGTTCCAGTTAAGATACCATAATTATTTTATTTAATTAATGTAATTTTCATGATTTTCAAATTTATTTCACTGCCATAGAATAAAGAATGTAAAAAGACGAAGTTAACAATGATCAAGTGATTTCTTTTATTTTTTTTGCAAAAAATCCTCATAAAACATGTTATTTTAACATGATGTGCACATTCATACAAACGTATATGTTTACATATGTGTTTACTTTATTGCTATTAAATCATTTGACAATCAGTTTTTCCTTTCGTATCAGGTTTTAATGACTTTCAATTTTATAATAAAATATTGTAAATTTCAATGAACTATTAAAAAGAAAAGGTGGTCTTACATTATTAAGGTCTCAAATTGAGACAAATACATTGAGATTTATTACAAAATTTCTTTAGCATATCAAAATTTAAACATTGCAATAATTAAGAAATCCGAATGAACTCAATAAAAAATGCAGATTAGAGTAATAAACGAAATTTTAGTAAATTATTTTCTTTAATTTTACAGTAAATTTTACTCTCTAATCGAAGAAATTTGTAAATCTCTTACTACATGGAGTAAAATTAAAATGAGTCAATTTGGAAAATTCTACAATAAACGTAATATGGATTTTAACAAATTTTTAGACCACTCTTTATTTTAGACCACAATCAACAGTTTTTACTAATGCTGGGAAAGATTAGTACTGTAGCTGAAGAATTTTTTCTTTTCAAGTCCAATTCGTTCTTCGACAACTCGATATGTAGAAGAATGTACGTGTAACGTGAGAAGTACACGGGTAATAATATTCATCGTCCTTAATATTAAAACTTAATCGTATAATTTTTAATATTGAAAAACAAAGAAAGCTTTCTATTGAAAAAATGAGCACGTCATGCTTTTTGAAAAAGACAACAATATTCATTAACCAATTCAATGCTTCATAAAATTATGCAAGGATTTTAATTGGAATTGAAAGAAAATTCAACCCGAACAACAATAATTGCTTTACAGTAACCAATTAAATAAAAAAAACAAAACAAAAACAGAAAAAACAATTAAAATTGATTATAACTTTTTTTTATCTACTTCAACTCTTTAAAATTTAATTATTCGCATTGATGTAAATGTATGTGCAATGTGCATCAGTATAAGAAAATAAAAAAATGTCCTTTTTGTTTTTCTTTTTATTATTTTTTTTTATTGAAAATATTTTGCAGTCTTATGCTTAATCCCATTTAGTTTCATTCTTAATCCATAATTTAACTTTCAATAAAGGATCATTTTAATTAGTATTCTCGTGTTATTATTGAAGAGGAGGGTTTATTGGCTTTCTAATTTAAATATAGTGTGATAAATCATTGAATGTAATTAATAAATTGAGTGCAGTAAGTGAATTAATACTTTCCTATTAATTATTTAAATACGAGAAAAATAAGAATTTTTAATTAAGTAAATTTGAATTTCATTTAATTTTATAATTTTTTAAACGTCTCGCTATTTAACATTGATTAATGTTAATTTATAATTTTATATTTTATAAACAGGAATTCTCAGACTTAAGGATAAAGAAAGTAAAATGGTATTTACTCACAAAATTTGTTATTTATTAAAAAAATTAATGGGAAAATTTATTAAACACTTTTAATGCGAAATATTGGCAGCATCTCTTCCTATAAATAAATAATCCATGAAAATGCAATTTTTTCTATTAATTTAAATTTGTTCCCTATAATTGTGAATTTTTTTCGAGTTTAAGTTGAATAAGAATTTTTATCCGTGTACAACTCTGCCAACAAATAATTTATTTACAATATCCTCATAAAATTCTTATTCAATTTATTTAAAGACAAGAACTGCAAATTGATAATGAAATCAATTAAAATTTTAAATTATAATTTACTTTCAGCATAAATTGAAGAAACAATCTTAATTTCACTTGGAAAATGCCACCAAATTTTTTCTTTATGATCTTAAGCTTAGCATTTTTTCCATTCTTTTATTTTTTTTTGCTTGAGTTATTTTAATTATTTTGAAAGAACGTGAAGGATTATTGCTCCCCCAGCTCATTAAATTTTTAAGAATTCCAACTTTTCTTCGAAACAGGAACAATGTTAAGTACCTGCAACCAGCAGAATCAGGTGAAATTTAAAATTAGTGGAACTTGATTTTAAAAAACTTAAGATTTAAAATTGGCAGTTACCAGAACCCGTTGGTCATATAACTCAAAAAAATTCTATTAAGATAAAGCTTAAAAATTTCGGGTAACTGAAAAATTAATAAGGCTAGCTGCACGAAATTAAGCTGGACTGAAACATTTTTACTTGTTTTTATTCATAAATTGTTGTAGACAAATAGTGCATTCTTACCATAAGAAGAATGGCAGCCAACATAAAAGGAAAACTCCCATGATAATACCTAAAGTTCTTGCTGCTTTATGCTCAGCTCTCCATCCTTTTGTTGGTCGAACAGAACCTGTAAAAATAATTAAAATTAATTTTTATATACAAGATTATATGCTGAAATAAAGTGAAAAACTGCAATGAAAAAATTAAATTCTAAAAAATCAAATATTTAAATTTTAAAATAACAACGGGACTTTCTACGCCACACACAAAATTTTTGGTTTTCAATTAAAACACAAAAACGAATTTGTAACGCAAAAGCAGTTTGCAAAAACAAAAAAAAAAAGAACACAGAACTCTTTTTCTTCCTCTATCGTGCAAATATTTGGCAAAAAAATTTTTGTTTGGAAAAAAAACAAGGTAAAATTGCCATTTTGATTTTTAATATTAAAAAAAAAAAATTACAAAATTTAGCAAAAATTTTAATTGCAGCAATTTGGTTTGGGTGTTAAAGTTTAAATTAAAACATTTTGGGCAACTTTTATTAATGGGCACAATTGCAGTGGTAAATTAAGATTCTTGCAATTCTCTACTTTTGAGTCAATTTCAATGAAGTTTAAAATCTAAGGGATGTAAGTGATTAATGGCGAAAATGATTTTATTCAATGAATTTATTTATAAAAAATGAAAATTTTATTTGTTATGAATTTTGTAGTTAATGGAAACTCTATCCCTTTTAATTTTAACTTCTATATGAAATTGAATTTCAGATAGATGAACGATAATTTCGAAAATCTTTAAAATTATGTAAAAATTGAGGTAATTGTGCAAATATTATGCTTAAATTAATTAACAATGAATAAAAAAATTTTCAATTTTTAAGTAAAAGCTAGCGAATATTATGACACTATTAACATATGAGTCATAAGAAGATGAGATCAATTTTAATTATGATGACAAAATTTTAATGCAACGTGACGTAATTAAAACTATGATTAGCAATGCACACCTTCCCAGTTGGTATACGAAATCAAAAAGTTGGGAATTAATTTACCGATTAAACAGGTTATAGTAATCAAACAATTTTCTATTTATGCAACTCTTTTCGATTACAATGCTTATATCATCCAGAATAAGCGGCGCGTGTAACCGTACAGTTTAACGTAACTGCACGATACCTGCTCTCCCGTAAATTTGTTAAGATCTATCCACTGGAATGCTCACACTGTATAACATACATATGCTGCTACTTATACAAATTTTTTTTCTAAATTTTAAATTTTTCTCAAAAAAAAAAAAAAGAATATTTTCTTTCGTTTTACTTTAACGCTATAAAATATTTACAACATGAAAATTTTTAATTGGAATTTCTTATAACCGTTATTATTATTATCCTTACATAATTACGAGAAAGTTAAAGTTTTCCTTTATCAATGTGCCTGCAGGTTAATTTTCAACTTTTCATCTTGCTACTGCTATTTAATTTTCAGAAGAATTCATTTTAATTATTTTTAGGTTTCCATAATTAAACTGTTTCTTTTTTTTTTTCATTTAAGATAAAAAAAAATATCTGTAACAAATTTTCCTATTAAAAGTTTAAAGTTGAAAAAAAAAGGAAGTGATTTTAAATATCGTAATCCTAGGAACATTATTACAAATATAAACAAAAAATATTGTAAAACAAGTGAAAAATTAAGATCTCGGAACTTTCTTTATTAAAAATAAATTATTTAAAAAATATTTATACAAAAAACAAGAACGAAAATGTTTCTACTTCAAGAACTGAAAAACCGCACTCTTGTAGTGAAATACTAAAATATCCTTACAATAATGTGTAAAAGCAAAAAAGATACCCGTTGAAATTCTCAATGCCTGACTGAAAAAAAAATTTTTTTTTTGTGTTATAAACTTTATTTTCAGAGAAATTTTTCTCCTCGAAAGCTAAAAGGTCAGTAAGAAAAGTTTCGAATTTAAGTTTATGGTTTCGTTATTCAACAGATTTTTAGTTTAAAATATTTTTATTTTGTTTTTTTACTAAGGTTCGGTTTTGTTTACCTACAAACCTTTCTTCTTTTCGTATTCCACAAAAACAAAGAAAATGGAATCCTTTATAAGGGATTTTTTGTGTATAGAAAAGTAAAATACAAAAAAAAAGCACGAAAGTTTACGCGGTTTCGAACTTGTTTTTTTTTATAATTTTTTTCTTCTTCTCTGCTTATTATTTTAGTTAATTAACTGCAGAGTTTAAAATTTTTTTTCATTGACTCCTGAAAGTACTGACCCGAAACTAAGAAAAAGGAAATTTAAATTTCTCTTTTTTCTTCCTCTCTTTCTTTTTCACTTAACTAGTACATAGCATACACATGTTTTTCAGACATAAAAATTTTAATGAGAAAAGGACGAAATAAATTAAAAGTGTTTAAAAATTTATTAAATAATTATGTCGTACATCAAAGTTTAATGTCATACAAATCAATTTTCTATAAAAAATAAAAAACTTTATTACTTCGCAACCTACGACTTCAAAATAAATTTTGCCGAAATGGAATATGAACCTAACATATACCAGAATTTCTGAATTCAGAATAGTAGTAACAGAATACTAATACAAAATAACAGCTAATAAACTGTAGATGCTGTCTAGGACATTATACTGAATAGGCCTTATATAAAGCAAATATATAAACAAAACTGTTGAAAATTAAGAATTTCGGTCGGTCACTTTAAACAACTTTCAACTAAATAATTTTAGAACTATCTCTATATTAATACGAATATTTAGTTAACAGAAATTTTCGTACATTTGAAAGGGAAACATTGGAACCAGTTTACTTTTGTTGAAAATCTAATGATAAATAATATAAGGAAATTATTAGATAATGAGAAAATTCTGGAATTTGTTTCAGTTGTGCAATACTTGTATATTTTTATGTCAGTTTTAATTTAATTGCTTTTTAAATTAAGTTCTTAAAATTTTAATAGTTTTTTCAACATTATTGCTAAAAATTTATTAATACCCCTAAAAGCATGCAATTCTTAATTTTATATGGTAAAGTATTTTTTTTACAATTATTTTAAAAAAAGGTTATTTCACTTAATATATTTAGAATTTATGGGCCTTGTTCTGTTTAGCATTAACTTTTACAATAGCATTAACTTTTTGAAAATTTTAGTTTCCAAACTTTACTTAAAGTCGCTACAATAATCTTCTTCTGAAATAACATTGAGAAAAAATTTTTAATATTTAAATAGAGCGTTGTTTTGTTAAAAAATATCTTAAAAAAGAAAAACTTAACTCAGCTTTAAAAAAAGGTTCTTTTTCCCATCAAACATTAATAATTCTTAGATGTTGACAACAAATAAATTAACAAAAATGATTTGATAATAGAAATATATTTTAAAAATCCTCGTTTTATGTAGAAGGACACGATGCGAAAGTAAGAAATTTATATGAAAAACAATACGACCATTAATATTATAAAATTCTGGCTAAAAAATTAAAGCTTATGTCAAAGTTAAACTCCTTGAATTGCATTATCAATTTTCATAATGTTCTTATTATTTTCCCAAGAAAATTAAAATAATTTGAGTTCTAAAAGAAAGTTTTTAAGTCTTTCTTAATTTTTATGTTATTTTTGTAATTAATAAAAATTTCCTCATTAAATTAATGACCTTAATAAAATATCAACCTTTTTCCTGAAATAATTTTCCTAAAATATTTTTATTCAATTGTAAACTTCCGTAAATTTTCAGTTCGGTTTCTGGTTATCTGTTTGCAAATTTAATACAAAACGAAGTTTCGGAGATATAGAATATGTCCCATGACAAATAAATAATATAAAGAGCATTCACAAATATTGTTGAATATCTAAACAATAAGTTTTTAAAAGAAAAGATTTTTTGGATTTATTCAACAATCCCAACAACTAAAAATATTTAAAAAATGTTAATTTCAAAAAATACTACATATCCAAAGATGCCATTACAAATTCATTTAAAGTGGTTCTTAAACTGTTTTATTTTCAATTCAGAAAATTTTTTTTTCATCTTCATGCTTTCTTCATCATGATTCATATATACCTACACTTTTACTTGATATTATAAAAAGAAAATCCATTTTCTTTTTTCTAGTAAAAAAAATATATTTAAATATTGAAAAATGTAACCCTGTAAAACAATAATAAGAATAAAGAATGAAAATCAAATTCCATTGTCAAGGGTATTTCACCCTACTATACCGCAGCTGGTGCAAAATAAAACTAAAAATCATAAAACACAACTGGGAAATGAGTTAAAATTTCTCAAAAAAAAAAAACAGCAAAGAAAAAAACAAAATATTTTCCTTTCAAGAACACATTTTACTAAATTTTGTAAGTAGAAAAAAAAACGAACGGAACTTGAAATATAAGAGCAGAATAAAGGACAAGGACATGTAGTAATACACAGGGTTAAATATGAGTGAGATTCAAATCCAAAAATACAAAAAAAAACCGGCATTCGTGAACAATATTCATCCTTTACCATTTATCATAATATAAGGAATTTAAATATCATAAATGTGAGTGTTGTCATATGTACGTTTCTGTATAATATTAAGGATTTGCATGAGAATTATGTAGAAAAAGGATAGTTGAGAAAAAATGAAAATATATTGTATAAGTATAGTTCTTATGATTTTCCTTTATTCCTGTACTAAAATTTAATATTTTCTATAAAAATTTGTGGTTGAAAATTTAAAAATAATTTGTAATATAGCTAATATGGAAATTTAAAAGCTACAACAAATTTATATTGCAAGGATATATTATAAATTTGAATTAGAGGAGTGGTAAAAGGAATATTGAGTTGAGAATTAGTCATAAAGTAGCTGCACGTTTACAAAATTTCAAAATTAGTTTAGAGAACCCAAAAATTATTTTAAACAACAATATTAAACTATTTGTATACACAAATGTGGAAACATTTGGAGTCGCAGTTTCTATATTAATGACAAAACATGATTTTTTTTCAGTATTTTTTCAAGTACACAATCAAATTGAACTTATTTAGAAAAATGCTTTTTATGCAATTCAAATTGCTTCTAAATAACTCAAACTTTCACTTAGCCTTAAAGTGTTTAAAATTAAAAAT